TGTCCTCAGATCAACTTAGTCCAGGACAAACTGTTCTCAAATCCCAGCCTCCCTCTCAGGCATACTCCCGGCTCCCCATTTTGGGGGAATCTAGGCCGCATGCTAACACTCTCCCAAATACTTTTTTGCAATCTCACCAGACATTGGACCTGCTTTCTTTGTAGACCAGTATACGGGAGAAGTGTAGGTAGTAAGATGTTATATTTTTGGCTTCTCTCAGTTTTTCCATAATATTCCAAATTGAGTGAAACAATACTAGGAAATTCAGTTCAATCTGCATCATCATACCTGTGTGAATATTTTTTACAGTAATATGATAAAAGGAAGCATTCCACGCTGAAGAATTTGCAATAAGAAAACAACTGTAAGCAAGGCAATATGTGAAATAGATTTTCATGCTGCTGCTTAAAATTTTTTTCTGCATTCTGAAAAATTTTGTATGTGTTGTTCATCCTATTTTGTTTTTGATGTGAAATGGTAGCTCTAGTAGATGGTGGTTCGTTTAACATATTTAGATGTCAAAATAAAATCAGATTCCAAAATTGCTTAGTTAACATGTTCTTAATCTCCAGAATCCTAAAATGTGGGATCCGTATAAACCAGAGAAAGTATCAGAAAGATGAATAAAGCTTCCAGGGATCTGTGTGAAGCAGGCTTTGAATATAAGATCTCACACTTGCACAAGTGGAATTTGTACATACGTCATTATTTTCAAGATAAATATTTAAAATTTCACCCCCATTATGAGGTAGAATATAATTTTAGTTATTCCATAGTTAATAAGTGAGAGAGAGGATTCAATTAGTTCTTTCTGGAGCCAAATTACCTCTTAGTAGCCAGTACATGCTACTAATAGCTCAAAAAGTAATTATTGAATTAATAAATTAGTGAATGAATGAGTGAATGAATGATCTTAGTGGAAGGAAAAAGGACCTTAATACCATACAAATATGAATTTGAATTGTGGCTTTGTCAGTTACCGTTGTTGATAGGTTGTATTGTATTTTCTTTAAGTGTTTTAGCCGGTTCAGGCTGCTATAACAGCATATCATAGACTGAGCAGCTTGTGAACAACAGAGAATGATTTTTCATATTTTGGGACCTCGAGTCTGAAATCACAGTGCCAGCATGGTCAGCTTCTGGCGAGGGCCCCCTTCCAGGTTGTAAACTGCCTTTTTCTCCCTGTGTCCTCACTTGGGAGACGAAGAGGGTGAGGAGAGCTCTCTGGAGTCTCTTCTATAAGGGCACTAGTCCCATTCATAAGGGCTCCACCCTCATGACCTGATCACCTTCTGAGGTCCTCACCTCCCCATACCATCACACTGGAGATTATATTTCAACATAAGAATTTCAGAGGAACACAGGCGCTCGGCCCGTAACACTAGGTGTTCAGCCTACATATTCCCTCTAAGAGGCTCAGAGGGAACGGCAGGAGAGCAGGTGTGACGACTTGGCAGAGATTTAAGAGCCCGTGTGTAGTTGACTTGTGACCTCTCCCAAGCTCTGTTCACAGTCTGCTCTTTCAGCCATGTCTGACCATGCAGGGACATATGAAACAAGCCAAGGCTGATGCACAAAAAGTACATGTGAGTTGTTATAAGCCTCTGAAATAGTCTTGGTTGTTCATTTCTGCCTCACAAACTCGAAAAATCTGACTAATGCAATATTTGTTTGATCTTGGCCACTGAACCACTTCAAGCCTCTTTCCTCATCTGTAAAATGGGATAATACATACCTACTTTACAAAGTACATATGGGGATTTAATGAGAAAACAAAATAGCTACACTGTGCAGACATAATACTTGGTATAAAAAGAAAGTCTCAAGTGTCTTCTTCATTTATGGGAAATCTTTTCAAGCTCATTCTCTCTCAAAGTGCTGCTGTCTTTATTTCTTTTTCCTGAACTATTCAGGAAATGAAAACTCTTCTTTTTCATTCCAATTCAAGCATCTTCATGTATCAAACTCCACCTATTATGAGCAACATTCTTTGGCAGGCATTGTGCCTATAAGGTAATGTTTTCTTATTCATGCTTTCCAGCTGAAGAGCAAAAAAAAAGCAGGGAAAAACAATATGGGTAGCACATGTACATAGGTTTCTAGCTGAAAGCAAATCTCTGCCTTAAAGGGAACTCCGATTCCCACTAGTGTTTTAATTAAGAGATTTAAATATCAATATTTTATGAGAGTTCACATAATCAAACCTAATTAATAGGCCAGAGAAACAAATCCAGATATTCAGACTACAAGACAGGATTGTTTTAAACCAGTATCAGTGCTGAAATGTGGAGAATAGTTACCCCAAAACATGGAAGTGGAAAATTAGCAATCAAAGGAAAGCTCTTTAAAAATAGTGTTAAAGATGTATCATGACAGCAAAGTGAGTAGTAGTATTTCTCGAAGTGTGGTCCTCTGAACACCTGCATCAGAATCACCTGGGGAGGCTAATTAACAGGCGGATTCCTCATCTCTGCTCAGGCTTATCCGATTAGAATCTCTGATTGGACATGTTAAAGAAGCCACATTTGTTAGTCTCTCCCAGTTTGCTTCAGGACCTTGCATTTTTGTTGTTGTTGTTGATTTGTTCATTTAAAAAAAATTTTAACATCTTTATTGGAGTATAATTGCTTTACATTGTTGTGTTAGTTTCTGCTGTATAATAAAGTGAATCAGCTATACGTATACATATATCCCCATATCCCCTCCCTCTTGCGTCTCCCTCCCACCCTCCCTATCCCACCCCTCTAGGTGGTCACAAAGCACGGAGCTGATCTCCCTGTGCGATGCGATGCGGCTGCTTCCCACTAGCTATCTATTTACATTTGGTAGTGTCTGTATGTCCACGCCACTCTCTCACTTTGTCACAGCTTACTCTTCCCCCTGCCCGTGTCCTCAAGTCCATTCTCTACGCTGCCGTCTTTTTTCCTGCAAGACCTTACATTTTTTATCAAAACTGTCTTATTACTTAATTTCTGATATGTTTTTAACTACAGTGTGTGTAATTTACACAAAGTGAAATGTACAAATCCTAAACGTTAAGTCTGATGTACGATTTATTCATTTGACTCAGTTGAACTGAACACACCTGGTCCTCACCACCAAAAACAAAATATGGAACATTTTCGTCACCTGAGAAAGTTCCCACGTGTCTCTTCCTAGTGCCCCACCTCTGTCCAGAGATAACCTCTTTCTGACTTCTGTCACCATAGGTTATATTTTCCTGCTCTTGGGATCCACATAGATGAAATTATACACAATGTATATGTGTAAGTGTGTCTGTATGTGTGTGTGTGATTTGCTTTGCACATATTTTTGAGATTCAGTCATGTTTCTATAGTGTCTGTAGTTTGTTCCTTTGAATAGTATTCCAGAGTATATCACAATTTTTATCCATTGTCCTATTCATGGGCGTAAGAATTGTTTCAAGTTTGGGGCTGTTATGAATAAGGACGTTATAAACATTCTTATATTATTTTTGTGAGCATATGTTTTTATTTCCCTCGCATAAATATCTAGGAGTAGAAATGGCGGATCGTATAGTAAGTATATATTTAAACTAATATGATACTGCCGAAGAGTTCTCATATTCCTACCAGCAGAGTATATGAGAGGTCCAGTTGTTCTATGTCCTTGGCAATATTTGGTATTTACAGTCTTTTTGATTTTTGCCATACTAGTGAGTATGGAGTGGCATGACATGGTGGTTTTTATTTTCACTTCGATGGAAACTAATAAAGTTAATTAACCTGATGGCTAATAACGTACTTCTGGTTATTTGCAGATCTTCTTTTGCGAAACGTCAGTTCAAGTCATTTGACCCATTTTTTCCATGCTCACCGCATTTGGAAAAGCACAGCTCTGGAGGTGAGTGCCCTGACCTCACAGTCAAAACCCTTGGTTCTTGATTGACTCTGCCATGAATCAGCTATGTGAATTTTTGGTCAAGTTGGCTTATTTGCTTCCACATCTACAGAATGTGGGACCTGCCTCTGTCATTCATTTACTTACTTCCGTGTGTGTGTGTGTGTGTGTGTGTGTGTGTGTGTGTGTGTGTGTGTGGAAGGAGCACCAAAGCGGGAACTAAGAGAATAAACACCTATTTCCTAAAGAAGAGAGAATGCTCAGGGAGATCTCAGAAAATACAGACATCAGACCTGCAGCTTTTTGCATCAGTTCCTACATTAACACATAAAGGTTCAATAATTAAAGGCCATTTTTGAGTAATCGCAGAAGCAAATGTAGTGAGAATATTGTTGAATTAAAGGTCTTCCTTACCTTTAGCCTTACTCTCACCCCACCCCACGGAGTTAATACTACCCAACTTCCAAGGAGGGGAGGAAGGGCTGGAGGGAACTAATGAGAGCAAAGAGGTTGATGGGTCCCTGAGGTTCTGTATTGTTTTGGCCATCTCTGTGAAAGCAGATGAAAAGCCAAGATGGGTTTATGGAAGCACAGCTGTGAGGATGATCAGATGAGGCCCCAGGGTGGCAAGAAGAGACCAGGAGAAAGCAAAGAGCTGAGTGTGTGTGTAGAGCCCCTGAAAGCCTCCCAGAAATCTTCCACACCTCGGCATGGCGCCGAATCAGTTAATTCACTGTGTACACCCAAGACCTAAAGCGGATTTGTAGACAGCACAGCAACAATGGAAGACTCATTAAATATCAGGTAAGATCAGCCCCCATAAGACACTACATGGCCTCTGTTATTCTAAAATCCACCTCAGAGGAAATGTGAGGCAATGATCTTAATTGATTTAGTTTTGTGTTCCCATCTACAACTATATATGGAATTGAAACAATATAGAAATTAAGTTAATATATAAAAAAGTAAAGGTATATTTATTTCTCATACGATTTTGTGGACTGAAATTAGTGTTCACTGTTTGAAGAATTTTTATGTTCTGAAGCAACATATCTAACTGTGGCAAGTAGCCATGGAACCAGCGCAACCCACAGAAGTATGTCTGAGTCAGACCAGCCAAAAACCTATTCCCTTAGCAACACTTACTCATGTTATCACCATTTTTTTTTTTTTTTTTGGAGACTAATGTGAGAATCTATTGCAGACAGTTTATTTTTTTTCCCTATAAAACTGTATACCGAAGACTTACTTAGTCATAGCACTCATTCTCAACAAATCCTTTTGCTGTCTTTGGAAACTCCTAAATTAAAGAATATTCCCAGGTATACATATTACTGTGAATCATGGTAGCAGACATGTGATACGGTGTGCTGGTGGCAGGCATCATGGCACTCTTTCCCAATGAAAATCCTTCAGAATTCAGATCTAAAGGCAGCCGTGGCTAATCAATCTGAATCATCATAAAAATGGAAACTTCCCTGCGGTTCCTTTCACCAATCCTTGACCTAGGTATCTGGAATCTGACTCCTCCAATGAAGAATGTCATCCCTAGAATGGATAAAACTTTGTCAGATCCCACAGTGATGTTTATCGGTTGCTTATGCTGCCACTTCTTACATCAGGCATAGGGTTCTTCATGATGTTTCCCCTGTCCAGCTTTACCTCTCTAGCTTCTGCAAGTAGTGTTCCTCTCTTCCCACCATATGTTTTTAAAGTATATCAAATCCTCTTATATTCTTTGTCAGTTCTTTGACTTTATAGACACCTTGTCCTCTCCTTGCATCATGTTATGGCACCTCTTCTCACCATCACTACCACCACTACTGAAGGAGGATCTTCTGATGAGAAGATGAACTTGACCATCAAGCTAGTTAAATACTATGAGCCTTTGGCAAATAGTTTCTGTTGTCCTTCAGCCTCATATTCGCTGTTCCTATCTCTCCTTTCTACTCGTGGGGCTAGCAGTTCATAAACCACATCTGTCAGGCACCCTTGCCAACTGGCTTCTTGTTAATTTATGCCGTTGGGAGGCACACATGGGAGTCTGGAAGGAGTGAAGAAAAAAAAGTATGTTTTTCCCATCTTTTGGCACACATGGGAGTCTGGAAGGAGTGAAGAAAAAAAAGTATGTTTTTCCCATCTTTTTCCCATCTTTTGAAGGAGTGAAGAAAAAAAAGTATGTTTTTCCCCTCTCCGGCAGTGGCAGCAACTGTGCTAGCTGGCACATGTGCAGTCCTGGGCTCCCACTCAGGCAGCTAGGTTCCAACAACATCAACATTGGTAGCAGGCAATGGTGAGCTCCGAGTAAAACCGTTCATGTTCTCTTTTTATTAGTTTCCTGCAGTTACTAACCTGTGGCTGTCTCATTTTTATCCTTCTAGTCCTGTAACACCTTTGTCAGCAGTTATCTGTTTCCAGTTCCTTTTTTCGTAATACCCAGAGAGGATTCTGTTTTCCTAATGCAGGGTATGAAGAGCAAACAGGAAGATTATTGCTTATAAGTTGTCTTCAAGGGGCTCTAAGAAGCTGAAGTAATTGTTATGAATCATATCCTAAGAGCAAACCCTATCAGGCTGTATCTCTTGGGCTTTACCCTCATTTAAACTCTAAGCACTTGATCGTTCTCTAGAACAGGAGTCGGCAAATGTTTGTATGTAAGGAGTTAGGTAGTAAACATTGTACGGTTGATGGCTCGTACAGTCTGTGTTGTAAGTACTCAACTCTGCTATTGCACCAGGAAAGCAGCCATAGACAATACATATTGATAAATAGGTGGGCATGGCTGTGTTCCAATAAAACTTTATTTACAAAAATAGGCAGCAAACCAGATTTGGCCTGTGAGTGGTAGTTTGTTGATTTCTGCTCCATAGCGTCCAGAATGAGAGCGTAGAACAGACAATCACTAAGAGGAGATAACCGTTCATTCCAATCATCCATTGTTATTCATTTATTCAGTTTTCAGATCATTTATCAGTTATTTGTTGATGCTGCTCTAGGTAACTGGGACACAATGGAGATTAATATATACACATTTCAAAGAAGGAGTATTTAATTTTAGAGATTAAAGCACAAGAAAATCTAATTTTCATTAAGTCTGGAAATGTCCCTTAAACTCTAAATGTCAAGCCTTTCCCTGTTAACTTTTCCCCAATCATAGACAGTCTGCCACCTGTCCTTGTGTAATCCTGTCATGACTCTAACTTTGACTTAAGAAGAAGTCTTTCTTTCATTCAGTGAAAGGACATTTATTACACAGATGAGCACTAGCTTTCCAATCCAAGTGCAAGGCTTTAATCAGCCCCGAGAAACACTTAAAACACACAGAGCCTCTAAAATGCATTATCCTCTGGGGGAAAAAAAAATCCACTCCCCCACCCACAAAACAATTCCCTTGTTCTTATCATGGAAGAAACAAAATATACCAACAGAACGTTTCATGTATCCCCTAAATAATGCCTGTAATTAAATGCACCATGTACATGATCGAATAAAATTTCATTTGCTTTCCAGCTTCCTCTAAATAACACTACGATTTAGAAGATCAAAGCAACAGATCATTTTAAGTTTCTTAGATATTTTTTCAAGCACTAGCATTAATCTATTAAGAAAAAAACATACCTTCCTCTATTCTGGAAAAGAACAATGGTAACTGAAGTTTCTCAGATTGATCTCAAATCTAATTATCAGTTCGAAATCCTATCTGGAACTTGTTTTCCTCCTGTCACAAAATGGAATTATTTCCAAAATTCAAGTTACCTTTTTCCATTTTTTTTTAAATTTTAATTGAAAACAATTTCAAATCTAAAGAAAAATGTTTGTAAGATTAGTGCAAAGGATTGCTGTGTCTCCATTTACTCAGAGACCCCGCTGAAATTTTACCAGTTGTCCCAACAATATTCTTTATGGCAAGAGGATCCAATCTAGTATTACATGTTGTTCCCAGTTGTCGTGTATCTCTGATCTCCTTCAACCTGCATAAGTTGCTCAGTCTTTTCTTGGTTTTCTTGACCGTGACATTTTGGAAGATTAGTAATCAGTTATTTTATAGAATGTCTTTCCTTTTGGGTTTGTCCAGTGTTTGTGCATGATTAGACCCAGGTCATGAATTTTTGGCTAGAATATCACAGGAGCGATGCTGTATTCTCACTGCCTTCCATCAAGTGGCACAAGATGCCAACTTTTCCATTACTGGTGGTATTAATTATTGGTCACTTGGCATCGGCGAGTTTTCTCTGCTTTATAACTACTTTTGTAATTAATAGATACCTTGCAAGGTTTATGCAAAATCCTGTTTTACATCTCATTTCCATCCTTTAGTTTTAGCATCCATCGATGTTTCTCACCCAAATTATTTCTATGATGATCACTGAATAATTTTAAACTCTATCATCCCATCCATATTTATTATATTACTGCAACACAGAGCTTTCGTCTCTCCCCCTTTATTTATTCATGTATGTCACTGGAGACACATGGATTCCTATTTTACTGAATGAGCTATAATCCTTTACTATCATCATTTATACATACTTGCAAAGTGCCCAAGATTTGGCCGCCCTTTCAAAGAGGTTAAGTGACCTATTTAAAGTCACACGATTGTTTAAGTGCTGGGGCCAGGAGTATAACATAGGGTTCTCACCACATTGATTTTTAAAATGTATTTAAGCCTTTTAGGATAATGAAACAAACATTTCATGTTCCTGTGAATATTTGGAATTACACATTCTGCATTATCTTCTCTTCAAGTTATAGAATACCTAGGATTTTCTTAGGTGAGCAAAAGTTATTGTTGTTTCAAATCACATACTATGTTTTGTGGACTGAATGTTTGTGTCCCCAGCTTCAAACTTCACATATGGAGACCCTAACCTTTAATGTGATTGTATTTAGAGGTGGGGCCTTTGGGAGGTGATTAGGTTTAAATGAAGTTATAAGGGCAGGGCCCTCATGTTGGGATTAGTTTCCTTTTACTAAGAGGAAGAGGGCCCAGAGCTGGCTCTCTCTCCCCCATGTGATGATCCGATGAGAGGGAGGCCATCTGTAAGCCAGGAAGATGTTCTCACCAGGAGCCAAATCTTCTAGCACCTTGATCGTGGAGTTCCAGCCTCCAGAACTGTGAAAAATATTTGTCTGTTGTTTGAGCCACTCTGTCTGTGGTACTGTGTTATAGCAGCCCAAGCTGGCTAAGACACTCTTTTAACAAAACTAATAGTGACATAATAAAAATAGATTTAAAATAATCTTGCCATTTGCAGCAACATGGATGGACTTAGAGGGTATTATGCTAGGTGAAATAAGTCAGACAGAGAAAGGCAAGTACCGTATGACTTCACTTATATGTGGAATCTAAAAAATACAACAAACTGGTGAATATAACAAAAAAGAAGCAGACTCACAGGTGTAGAGAACCAACTAGTGATTACCAGTAGGGAGAGGGAAGTGGGGAGTGGCAAGATAGAGGCAGGGGATTAAGAACTACAGACTATTGTTTGTATATAAAATCAGCTACAAGGATATACTGTACAGCAGGGAGAATATAGCTAATATTTTATAATAACTATAAATGGAGCATAACCTATAAAAATTGTGTATCACTATATCGTACATCTGTAACTTATATAATAAAAAATATAATTTATTAATTAAATAAAGGTAATGGAAAAACCACTATTGATTCTATAAAAGTCATCAAGAAACGCCATGTGCATATTTCTAAAGTAATGACAATATCTCTTGCTGTAGCTCTTCGAAGTTTACAGAATGTTTTCTGGCACATAGTCTTATTACTTTTGAAGGATAGAAATTGATAGCTTTTGTGTGTTTTCCGTACAGCTTGGGTATTCCTGCTTTTCATTAAGAAAGTCCCCCTCTCCAGTCCTATGTCTGCCGGAATAAGGAAGGAGGAATCAGAGAATAATGACTAGAAACAGGATAAAGACAATCTATTGGTAGCTTCCTCAATGTCATTTTTTTTCTGCTGCTGTTTACGAATGAAACCCAACCCGCACTTACTAAAAGTTGAATTGCTATTTTGGGCATTTGGATCAGAGTGAGCCATCCGACAGGAAGCTGGGAGACACTGGACGTCATGTCAGGAGATTACAAGGGACTCTGTGTGTTTGCTGTTGGCTCTGGTTTCTAGCTCTCTAGGCTGGCAGGGTCTTCATGTCCCACATATCTGTATGCTCAGCTCCTGGTGCTGGCCAGAAGTCTCAGATTTCTTCTTCAGTGACAGCAAGGGCCGTTGAGGACTTAAGTCAATGGTTACTGATCTGAAGTCTTTCTAAAAGGCAGAAGTGGAAAGAGCAAATCACAACTCTGCCACCTCCTATCCTGATGTCTGGGGCAAGTGATTTCGTTAATCTGAGCCTTACTTTTCTCACTACCATTTGAAAATGTGGACAATGTAGGAAGTAATCATGAATGTGTTCCATGCTGAATGTGAAATGATTCATACAGAAGTGACACTACACAACTGAGACAGAGTTTCTTCCAGGCTTCAAGGTGTTGTGAAATCTTTGGAGAAGGCAAGCTATGCATTATGGTTCACTGGAAGATCTAGGATTAAGATTATTATAAGTAATAAAATGACTTAATAATCCAGAGGAGAAAAGACTGTGTTGATGGGAGGTTTCCCAAGGGTGAGAGCAACTTAGCCTTTGTGGCTGGTCAGGACTTAGGTGACTGGCATGAAGGAAGCAGTGAGACATTCTAGGTGTTTTTAGTTTCGTTTAAAAAACAATTAAACAATCATTTGAATGTCTACTAAGGGGTAAGATTTACATTGCCACTTCAACTATGATGTTAAATAAGGTGAGCCCTGTTAGTTTCCTAGGCTGCCATAACGAACTACCAGAAACCAGGTGGCTTAAACAGAAATGTAATCTCTCGGGACTTCCCTGGCAGTCCAGTGGTTAAGACTCTGCACTTCCCGAGCAAGGGGTGCGGGTTCGATCCCTGGTCTGGGAACTAAGATCCCCCATGCCATGTGGTACTGCCAAAAAAAAAAATAAAAGTAAATTTTTTTAAAAAAACAAATGTATTCTCTCACAGTTCTGGAGGTTGGAAGTCTGAAATCAAGATGCTGGCCGGGCCTCACTCTCTGAAGGCTCTAGAGGAGAACACTTCCTTGCCCCCTCCTACTTCTGGCAACCTTTGGCATCCCTTGGCCTGCAACTTTGTCACTCCAATCTCCATTGGTCACTTGACCATCTTCCCCCTGCGTTTCTCTGTTTCTGTGTCTCTTCTTCTCTTATAAGGACACCTGTCGTATTGGAGTAAGGGCCTGCCCTGCTCTAGCATTAGGTCATCTCAACGGGCATCTTAATTCTACTTGCAAAAACCCTATTTCCAAAGGGCGTCACCTTTACAGGTCACAGGGTTAGGGCTTCAACATATCTTTGTGGGGGTTCAGAAGATATTCAAAGATAGTCAAACCACAATAAGCTCTCTCTCCATTAGGAGTTCATAGTGAGAGACAGAGGCATGAAATCACAAGGTAACTGTAATATCATTTGAAAGATGCTATGTCAGATACTTGTTCAGGGTGGCATATGGTGATCAAAGAAGAATGTTTAATTAGACAGCAGGGTGAGGGGATGGTCAGGGAGACTTTCCATGGTAATGTATCAGCTGAACTCTGAAGATGATCTGGAGTCAGATGAAGTGGAGAAAGGTCAACCCAAGTGAAAGGAACAACACAAATGAAGTCAGGGAGGCGTGAAACACTTTGTTTGTGGAGGAAACTGTAAGCAAAATTTCAATACTGATCGAAGAGTGAGAGGCAGAGAGAGCAGAAGAGATAAACCTGGGGATCTGGGTTGAGCCGGTACAGAGAGTACCGTGTCTTGTCATGTTGGGAAGCTTAGACTTGCATTCAGTTTTCCATCACTTACTAGAATAGTGCATATCACAGTGTGGTCAGGTCATTGGTTGAAGTAAATGGTATATAATTGTCCTAATTACAGTCGCTACAGTGAGCAAGCACATAAATTCACAGTACTATGCATGAAAAATACAAGTGAACATTAAAATAGCACCAAACTGCAAATGTATTGGAGTAATGGTTTTTGAACTGCCAACTCATGCAAAAGCATATCAAGGTTGTTTGGAAATTCAAGGTGGAGTTTCTGAGATTCTTGGATACTCAGTGCCACAGAAGACCAGGTACAAAAAAGGATTCGTGGCAACCTAAATCTTCATGTCAATCGTAACTGCAACCATTTAAGTTATAAGCTGTAATAGGCTATAGCACTTTTTGGTAGTAACAAGTACACTGTTTAAAATAAGACAGATGTGACAGTCTTGGCTCCTAAGGATTTTAACAAATGGATTCCAAAAAATGTTTAAGGAACTATACATAAAAATGCATCGCCTTTTACATGGAACACAATTTCTTCCTCCAGCCCAGTAGTACTCCTCTTCCATAGGGACAAAGAAGCATTCCAGAGATGGACCAATTAATAGCATTTCATACAATTCCTTCCTCTAAACAAAACTCATTATACCTTTGCTATCCACAGCTGGCCTCTTGAGACGTGTCAGTTGCAAACAGAGGAGGACCCTAAGAAGTATGATTCCCATAAGCGATTACTGAGTGAACAAGGCCATTTGAGGTGCATTCCTTTTTGTTGAGGTTGGTGTCGGGAAAGGGGCAACTCTGCTTTTCTGTAGCAGGACCCTCATGCCCCTGTGATGGGCCTGGAGCAAGGGAAGGACTAGCGGGCACTTGAAGTGCTGAAGTCTGTGTCCCCAGACACCACTTAGAAAAGGACCTTAGTTTTGGCCTCGTGCCCTTCTGCAGTTTCATTTCCACTGAAGAGTGGCTTGAACTCTGCAACTTTTTCCATCAACCCTCGTGGCTAAAATTAAATTGCAGAGTCCAGGTGAAGAATGAACTCAAGCCCTTTCTAAAAGCCACCCCGATGAGCATCCCTTGCCAGGAAGGGAAGGAGAGAGAAACTCCCTTACACAGGATGTGCATCTGGAAGGCAAACAGAAGTTGTTTCCATGAACTCCAGTAGATGGTGAGGGATCCAGAGATGAATACGCTCTGTTCTCAAGGAGCATAAACTCTAGTGGGGAACCTGAGACTTACATAGTGAATTCCATTACAGAGCATTTGATTACAAAGTGATTTAATTGAGTGATTAAAGACAGTGATAATAATAATAGCTATTGTCTATATAACTCAGTTTTCATGTACCAACTCCTTTCATATACATAATCTTAGTTGATTATCACAGCATCTCTCTGCTTTATAAGATGGTTCAGCCCATTATTTTCCCATCTGAAAGTTGGAGAAACTGAGGGCCAGGTAGGCAATGTGTACTGACCAAAATAGAAGTGTCTGGAAGCGATGTTAAGTCTCCTCTTCATTCCGAAACACTATGCTGTGATTCCAGATAAAATGCTACTCCAGGATGGGGAAGGAAGAGTTGGATTCTGACTGGTACTAGGCGGTGGTAATTTGGTGGTGGTTACAAGTAGATACTGTGGCCTGAATTACAAAATCTGTAACGCATTGTGATTTCTCTTTATTCACCTGCTGACAGTGTAAGCAGAATATCAAGTAACACAAGATATGTTTTCCAAATGGCTAGGAAGTTGACTATCCTTTCCTCCATTGACTCATATGTTTATTTATAATTCTTTCTAGTCGTATGCTTTTCCATTCCCTCTATTCATTGCTTTTACAATTCAAGATAATTTTGATACGACAAGTCACTGGGAATCCCCTTTTATCCAATCAGGGGGCAGGTCCAAAGGAAAGCAAACCCCTTGCTTGGGCAGATTCCAGAATGTTAAAGTAAACATGAAATGCCGAGATGGATGTAGTCTTCTTTTTAAGACACTCCTACCCATAATCAAGTGCTGTGACTAACTCCCTGGGAATTCTTACAGACTCTCCTAGAGAGAAAGCCAGAGACATTTTATGTCATTGTTTATTAGCGCTGAAAATGCACTTTTGCTCAGCCCCAGGTAAAGAATAAGTCCATAACGTACAATAGAGGCTGAGAAATCCCATCAGTTCCTCAACATGAGGATGTTTCTTCACCAGTTAAATCTGCCTCTGTGCAATGAGTATGTGTTCCATAGCAAGGGATCGTTAATTATTTGTTGAAAAGAAAATGGACGTCAAGGAATAAGTACTTTGATGCTATTTAAAGTACTCATAGTATGAGCTATAAGACATAAAATAAATGGCATTTCCATTTTTGATACTTCTAATATCTGACTTGCATTAGGAAAATCAGTGTGACATATGGCAGAGGGCTGAACTGATATTTAAAGGCACAAGCTCAAGCCTGGCTCAACCACCGACCTTGATAAAATAATTTGTCGAAGCCTCAGATTTCCCCTATAAACTTTCTCCCCAATAATACAAAAAGTTTGGGTAAGAAATTTCTAAGATTCCTTCTAGCTCCAAACACCTGTTAATGCATTTCAGGGTTTCTAATAGAAGACCGACAGTTTGGTCTATTCTGATAACAATTCCCAAGTGTTTGCTCTTTGAAAAATTACTATATTCAACCCCAGTAAACATAATTTTGTGGTTTGGGCCCATAGTGTTTTCCTGGTAACTCAGTCACATCTGTAGACAATGATTACTTCCAGTTATTCCAAGAAAGTATACTGGTGTTGACCTCCTGCTTGAAACATGGCTCATGTTTGGCTTATGTTCTTCATGTCCTAACTTAGTCACTGTTAAATTTCTACATCTTACTCAAAGACAGAGAGTGCTGGAAATGAGTTGTCCTGGGAGAAGTAAGAGCAGCCCAAGAATTAAATGACCATGAGCTAGGTGATCTCCAGCACTTTTGTTATACGAGGTGGCTTAGCTTAAAACAAACAGAGTGAGCTCTTGTCTCTGTGATGTATGGGTTGGCTTCTTTTCTTTCTATACTTGAGAACAGTCACCTGATCCTTAGAGGTGGGGAGGCAGATAAAGCCATACATTTACCAGATCAAAGGCTACTGTCAAATGAGCAGGATTGTCATTAAATGTTAAGGGATAGATGCTTTGTTTGGTGCTATTTAAACTGCCTAGAAATATGAGCTGTGAGGCATAGAGGAAGTGGAAACGCCGTGTGTGTTGCTTCTAATCACTGATCGCACTAGAAAAATCAGTGTGATGTAGATGGCAGAGAGCTGAACTGGTTGGTATTAGAAGGCCTGAGTTCAAGTCCGGCTCGACCACTGAGCTTGACAAAGCATCTTAATTTGTCTGGGTCTCAGTTTCAGTACCAACGTGGAAGTGGAATGAGAAGGAAACTATTTTCTGGAATACTCCTACTATGTGACAGGCATTTTATCATATTGGATTGGCCAAAAAGTTTGTTCGGGTTTTTCATACTATGGAAAAACTCGAACAAACTTTTTGGCCAGCCCGATAATTTAATCCCCTCTGCAAACAATCATGAAGGCATTATTGACCCCATATTTACTTACAAGGAAATTAGGACTGTGAGGGATTTAATAACTTCTCCAAGTTATTACTAGTGAAGGTAGGGATGACTTTCTGACTGATGGCTCTTTCTATAGCAGTATGCTACCTCTTAGATTTAAGAAGAAAAATTTCTTCTAAAAAATGAAAATTTCCAATCTTGGAATAAAGGGAGAACCAGAAATTAAAAGGATAAATTTATACCTATGGCCTTGAGGTCTTTTTGCCAAGAGGGAAGTTTTCAGGGGAAGATAGAGAAGGAGTTAAATGAATGCCAAAACTTTTTACAATTAAACCAGAAAATGTATTTCCAGTATGATCTGTTTTCCTCCTTATAAAGCAGTAGATGTTTATTATGAAAAGCTTATGAGGAAATGAGAAAAAAAAAAAAAAAAGGCACTCCCATATTATCATTTTGATATTTATCATTCTACTCCTTGAGTAAGTACATTTTTCTAGCCCTCAGTATGTCTCTTACACTGTGAGATCGCATTTATTTGGACTGCGTTAATTCAAATTGCTAATTAACTCGAGATAGGCTAGATTTTATTTGGCATATAACAGTAATTGAATAAATATTTGTTGAATGAGTAAATGATTGAAGGAATGCATTAACATATAATTTGTGAAAATTGGAGGATTTGTAAGATTTGGGGTGAGATTCAACTTGTAGGTTGAGCATCCATTGGTTCAAGGCCTATCCCAAACCATAGAATACATAAAAATAAAATTAACGATAAGGTTCCTAACTTCAAGGAACTTGAAGTTAAAAAACTACTAGGACACAGAATATAAAACATGCTACAGAGAGG